TGCTATTCCTGATGCACAAGTCCTTGTTTATTTAAGGGATTGTTTAAGAGATAATACAAGACTATTTCTTTACAAAGTTTAAATACATTTAACAGCTCTTTTATCAGAATTCTTGTTTCTCTTCCAAAGACGATTCCAAGAATCAAATGGTGATTGCAATACCTGTTGATGTCTCTAAGGAACATTCTAGGTTAATTAGTCCACCATCAAAGATGCAGATTAGATTAGAATTAGAAAAACATTGCCTGGAACATTGAAAAGTGAGTGAAGAATGATCCATCAAACTGTATTTAGCCCATGTAATTATGGAAACAAAGAGTGAGTAACATAAGTAGAAGGTGATTCTATTCCTTGCGGAGGATTTGGATTAACAATTAAAATAGGCTGTTTTGTGAACAGTGTAACTCCTAAATTCCATCTGTATTTTTTACAACTGACCTAGAGAACTCTCAAATAAGCCCAGATGCTTTCTCTGTGAATTTTTAAAGAATGGAAATCGTCATATTCAACTTTCAGTTTTAATAGGCTGGCTGGGTATATGCTGGTTGTCCCCCAAGGGTAAGATGCCTAATCCAAGACACATTTGGCCCTTCAAGGCAGTGGAAGAGAGACAATATTACAGTACAAAATAGCCCTGTTTACACCCATCCTATTGGTGGATTACTTCAGAGAAATTTCTCCTAATGAGCCAATTCTCAAACTATAAACAGAGGTGGTATTCAGCAGGTTCTGGCCAGTTCTGGAGAACTGGTAGCGGAAATTTTGAGTAGTTCAGAGAACCAGCAAATACCATCTCTGACTGGTCCCGGCCCCATCTATTGTCTGCTTCCCGAGTCCCAGCTGATTGGCTGGGTCTTCCTGTACAGGAGAACGGAGCTGGAAAGCAGGTTAGTGGTGGAGAGGGAATGGGATTTTGCAATAACCTTCCCCTGTAGTGGGGTGGGAATAGAGATTTTACAATATCCTTCCCCTGTCATGCCTACTAAGCCATGCCCACAGAACCGGCAGTAATTTTTTTTAATCCCACCACTGACTATAAACCCTGCCCCAACCTTTCTATGATACTGTTGGAGCTGAAGCTCTCTAAGGAAATACTATAATTTGCACTTTTGAATGTTGTCTATGTTCTTATGGCACATTGAACAAAGGGTATTATGCCCTCTCTTCACAGGGCATTCTCTGCCTAGATACGAACTTTCCATTATGGCAGCCTTCTTCCACCTTCTATCTTCTAGATGTTCTGTAATATTCTTTCCAAATATGTAAGTCTTGTTAGTTACGGATTATGAGAATTGTAGATTAAGACTTCAAGACAGCACTAGATGAGGGGAAACTACTTTTGGCATGCCTCCTTACTTCTGGGATGCTGGCACATGAAGAACCACGAAAGGTAAGCTGAAATGGGACCATCGTGAAGGTGGGTGGAACTGGAGAAAAACCTCCTTGGCACTTTCTTGTCTATCTGTAGGATTGTGAATGCTTGCAGTATAATATTTGACTCTGAGGTGCTCTCTGAGCTTGGTTGCTTTCTTGCAGAATGATCTATTATCCAAACTAAGTAACATCAACAGTGCTCAAGCACCAAGGACCCCTCATTTCAATCCTGAGCTACAAATACTCTCCTCTATTAGTATTTGACTCTATTGGGTGGGGCGTGTGTGTGCGCGCGCACACACACACGTAGCAGGATCCTTAGCAAGAATTCCATAATAATGACAATGTGATCACAAATCAGAGATGGAGAATATGGCCTCAGAGCTTTTCTCCCCAATTCTTCAAGTCTTGGCCTTCTCCTTTCCTACCCAAAGAATAAATTTCCCCTCAAACACTCTTCCCCATTGCTCTTTGACCAGAAAAAGGTTAGAATCAAAGGTTTTCCTGACCACAACATTTCTCCATGGATGACTGAGAAAGGATGCTCGCTCTGTACCTGCCTGGATTGTGAGAAATTTATGTGGAACATCTTCCTTGGGAATTTAGAACAAGGAAATGAAGGCAAGGCTCTATGTTACCAGATGTAACTTTAAATATATATATATGTGTGTGTGTGTGTGTGTGTGTGTGTGTGTGTGTATTCAGTGTCTATTTAGCAGGGCATCCTTCTTTGGAAGACATCAAGAGCCCTGCCTGGGCTTTCAGTTTATAGTATGGCTCCTTCCCAGAACTTTGCATAACACAACATTTACAGCCCATCAGTTGAGCAACTCTGTTGTTTTCCCTCCTTTGCATGAAAAGTGAGGTTCAATATTGCTTAACTTACAGATACCTAAAGTGCTGGGAGATGTGGTGGAGGAATGCCAAGGCAGCAGACAGTGCCTTGTTTTGTCTCACTGTTGATGGAGAGGGCAAGTCAAGCTGAATCAAGAAACATTTCAGGAATATGCCAATGAAATTACAGGATCCTGGCTTCCCTACGCATGCCACACACACGCAGGCCACACAGATTCTTGATTCTTGACGAATGTATCTTTTCTTTTATGTACACTGAGAGCATTTGCACCAAGACAAATTCCTTGTGTGTCCAATCACACTTGGCCAATAAAGCATTCTATTCTATTCTAACTTCCTAGAAGTTACTCCAAGAACAACTCAAGCATCCTTCTTTTTCTTCAGCTGTTGCCTTAGGACACTTTCCATCTAAACTGAGCTTGCCAATCAAAGCTATCTTTGTCTAGTGCACCTTTACTCTAAGGCCACTACACCCAAGATCAATACCGAGACAAATCAATCACTCTTGAATATCCTTTAATCTATCTATCAGGGTAGCTTAAAAGAAACAAGGAGGGTTGGGAGAGGGCGGAGTCTGAGGCATGCTTGTATGATTAAAAAGGAGTTTAATTCATTTTAGTAACTATGTCTTGAGTGCCAAATATTCTGGATTAAAAAGATGAGATATTGTATTAAGTTAGTGATTGGGTTGCTCAGTTCCACAAAAAAGCCTTGGTGATAGAAATTGGGAAGGAAACTGGAATTAAGAGGGTGAAGAGTCACTGATTTCAATAAAGGGCTGTTGGTCTATGGAGCCAAAGAGAAAACCTGAGACAAGGACAAAGCGCATATGAGACCAAAGAGCAGTTACGAGCATCCAAGGAAAGGGGCACTTTGGGCTACAGAGAGATGGAATGAAAAAGAAGTAGTCAAGCAATTTGGAGAGCTTATTTCAACTCCTACCCTGTGCCTGATTATGGCTGGCACGGTGACTCTCAGAATAGCACAATATTATTTTTGGGGGGGGTGGGGGGAGATGGTAGGGAGGCACTTTGATTGGCCTAGATTCCTGTGAATTTGGAATAAAGCACAACTAGGTGGCTATAGTCTGCCGCTGCCCAGCATGCTGTGCAAATCGGTTGAATTGCCCTTCCCCGAAGGGGTAGGCCTCACATCCTGCCAGGGAGTCCAATCCACGGGCTCCTGGCAGGCTGGACACTGGCTGCCTTCATCAGGGAACTAACCCTTTCCATGGTCTTCCTTGGGTGGTTGTTTCTCTGCGCTGTCAGGCTTCTACCCTCTCCCCACCTCCCACTTTGCTGGAAAATTGGCTGGCTCCCTGCAGGCTGGCACTGCGATCAGTGGAAAAGAATGAAAAGACAAACAGTATCCACTTATGCTCCTCTCAGCTGCCAGATCCTGTCCTCATCCTTCAAAGCAGCCTGTGGCATGTGAAGAGTTTGAAAAGAACCACTATATGGCTGTAAACTGTAATGGGGAGGGGGCTGGTTTTTTTTTGCAGTTGGTGCTCTGTAGAGAGTGCCTGTTTTTTACTGCCAGATGTTCTGCCTATGTACAGAGTTGAATGTTTCTATGGCATGCAAGTCTGTGATCCATGTGGGACTGGAGGCATGTTGCCTAAAAAGTGTTCATTATTTCTGGAAATATTTGCAAGATGTGCGTGTGTACTGAGTGTGCATACACTGGTATCTGTGTGTAATCTTATGCGCATGCATGAACATTTCATTATCATGCCATAGTCATATGTATAAATTACATTTTGCTTGTGTGAAGATCTGTGCATGCCGATACCATGCGTGGAATGTGAGGTCTTGCAGTATGCTGTCTCAGTCTATATATGTATGTGTGTGTGTGTGTGTGTATGTATGTATGTATGTATGTATGTATGTATGTATGTACGTATGTATAGTCCCTTAATTTTTGAAACATCCATTTAACCATCCAAAAAGCTTATGAAGCAATCTTTCCACCTGAGGGTCTCTGATTGTGCTGCAATAAACATGGAATCCCAGGATTCTTATTCAACATGGCCATTGGGTATTATGGAACTTGCAATCTAAGATACCTGGAGACCACCTGGCTGATCAGTTAGAAAGCGTGTTGAAGAATGCATGAGAGCTACCGTATGACCTTGCTGCATTGTGATGGAATTAATAGGATTGTCATTTGGAAATCTTTCGGCTGTTGAGGCTTTCCAACCAGTGCCAGAGAGTACAACTTGTGTCTCCCGTTAATTATTTGGGGACTCAGCTGGGGCGGGGAAAGAGGCAGAAGAGGTGGGAAACCAATCTTGCTTCAGTCCAACGCGCGTTGCACCTGACCTGCTGGTTGACCTTGCAAGATCTCTACAATTTGGGGTCCTGAGCCTACCGCCTCCCTTCTCAGAATGAAAGCTTTGACTGGATTCCCATGAATTGGGCAGCTGCTTTATTTTTATGACAGGCTGCACTGCTGCTAGAACTAGAAACTGCATCGGAGTCTGGTCATGCCGTGGCTGACACCATGGGTGTCGTTGTTATGGGGAAATTGTGGAGGGCTTCTTAGCAAAGCTTTGAGGGAGGTTCTGTTGCCCTAACAATACCTACACACACCCTCCCATCAGCTGCACCCCTTCCCACAACTGTACCTGTCTCTCCAGGAGCCAGGATAGGAAATGTCACCATTTTGGGGGACCCAGAAACCAGAAACCAATCATTCAGGCTAAGCAGTTGTACCTTTCCGATTCTTTGCCTTCTCTTACAATGCCCTCCCCCCACATGCAACTGCCCTACGAACTGCTGAAGTTCTGCTTCCATATTTTGCCTCTCCTGTCACCCTGCTGAGATCAGAGCCGCCATGCAAACTTCGGTTTGCCTCTTTCCACAAAATCATTGTCACCCTGCAGACGAGAGTCCGTCTTAGAAACAGGCCCCAGAGTCAGGTTATACTACCAAAGGCAAAGAAGCTGCGCGTGGGACGCCATCAGATAGACATTGGGGGCGGGGGGGGTGGGGAGTTCTGATTTTGGACTCAGTGGAAAGACAGGAGCAATGGGCAGAAACGCCAAGCGAGGCCTTCGCACACAACGCTGCAGCAGCAGCAACAGAAGCAGAGCCTTTGGCACTCCCAGGGCAACGGAGGTGGCATCCATGTGCCAAGGAGCCCAATGGATCCTTCTCTGCAGAGCAAAGGTACAGCCACGCCGAAACTTTGTTGCTGCACTTTGTGATACCAAGGGCTCTCCGGTCGAGTCCAGGGCTCCCGAAAGAGCTGGCTTCCCTCTCACCAAGCGTCTCGCCTAAGGACGCGATGCCTCCGGCGCATCTTAAAACCGCCGCCGCCGCCGCCGCCGCCGCCGCATCCTTTACCCAACTCAGGTTCCCTTTCCTTTTCCCTCGGAAGGAGGTGCCGGTCAGTCCCCGTCCCTCCGCTGGGCACCGTCGTCTCCGTCGAGCCTTGTCGCCCACCCGCCCGCTCGCCGTCCCTCCCACGAGGCTCCCTGGCCAGAGTACCGCCGTGGCTGTCCACCGAGACCGCCGCCGCCGCCGCCGCGCGTGTGAAACGCCGCTCTGACTCACCGTTGGGCTGGAGGTGGCTGGTGAGGATGGTGCCGGCCAGCAGAACCTGCCACAGCCCTGTGCCCACCCGGGCACTGGCGCCGAGCTGCAGCCATCGAGCCATTCCTCGGCAGGAGGCGCGGGGACGGCAAGGAGGACGGGACGAGCCCCGGTCCGGAGGAAGCCGGGGAGGGGGGAGCCGTCTGTCCCAGCTGGAGTCCGCCCGGCGCTGCCCCCCGCAAGAACTCAGGGCACTTCAGGGCCGCTCAGCACCCAAGCCCGCCGCGGGCTCCTCGCCCGCCCCATCGGCGGCTCATGGCCCGACGGACCCGCCGCCGGGGCTCGGCGGGCGAGCTGCGGGGAAGCGAGGGCGTCGGGCGGAGAAGGGGGCTCGCTCCGGCAGCCAGCGCTGGAGAGCCCGCGCCGGCCAGCCGCATAGACCCCCCTCGCCGGCCGAGCGCCGCGGCGCGACTGTGCGTGTGCGTGTCTCTCGCTCTCGCCCCGCTCGGCTCGCTCGGTCCTTCCCTGCCAGGCAGGCAGCGCTGGGCTGGCGGCGAGGCACCTTGTCCGCGGCAATGCAGAAGAGAAAGAAGAAGAAAGAGCCAGCGAGGGGGCTGCAAAACCCGGACTGGAATCCGCCACGGGAAGGGACGGAGCAACAGCTGGTTCCAGACTGACAAGCTCCGGAGACGCAAACAAGCTCTCCGCTGGGAGGGAGCGGGAGCTGCAGCCGCCAGGCGGAGCCGCGCGCCTTTGCCTCCCGTGCTTGCCGCCCGGCAAAAGCGGCTTGGCAAAACCTGCCCGCGGAGACTCGGGGGGGAAGGGGGCGGGCGCGCTGGTGCCCGCACCGGCCTTTTTTTTTGGTTCCCGCGAGGGAAGGGGAAGCTGGACACCAGCCCGTAAGCAAATCTGGGGCTGGGGAGGGGGCGGGAGACGCCCCCCCCCCGCCCCCATGGCAAGCGTACTTTCCCCTCCTCCGGTCCCCGTCAAAGCAGCCCGTCCGTCCAACAGGTCCCTGGCTCCACCACCTCCACCGCCCTCCCTCCCTCCCTCCTTCCCTGGCGGCTCTTGCGAATTCAGCCCCGCCGGCCCACCGAGGGGAGCCTCCGATCTCCGAGCGGCCTTCCCAGGAGAGTCGCGCCCAAGAGTTTGCCCAGCCGGCCTCGCCCTCCCCCCTGCCACCCAGGACGGGGGCCAAGGTCAAGGAAACCACGGCGACACGCCCCCCTCCCCGCCCGTCCTTTGGCAGCCGCTGCTTTTTAGGAGGCATCGCCTCTTCTTTTCCCTCGCGAAAGGGAACTCGCTCATAGGTTGGCGAAGGCAAGAGAGCGAGGAAGGAGTGGGGAGGGGCAGGGGGACCCCGCTGATTTGGGAGATCCAGCCGTGCCCTCTGCAGGGGAGGCTCGCTCCTCTTCCTCCGCTCTCTCCACCTTGGCAGAGGAGCCAGGACTCCCAAGGGATTCCAAAGTCCCGTCTGCTTCCGAGTCCAGGCCTGGGCTTCTCCGGTGCAGGCCAGGGGCTGCCAATCACCGGCATTTCTGTTCAGGACAAATGTCCCCTGAGGAGCTGCCTGGCATCCCTGCGCTGTCCCTGGGCCCCTTTCTGCTGCAGAGGAAGGGCACGGAGGAATGACCCGGCCAGTGGCCCGAGTGAGGACAAGATTCAGGCCAGGAGGCTGACCTGATGCAAACAGACACCTGCATCTGTTCCGGCACAGAGACCCCGCAGCCAGCAGAAAGAGACACAAAAGATGGGACAAAATAGGCAGAGAACAATACAGGCAGGCTAGACACATAGGCAAACAATAGGTGCCTCGAATCTCACAAAAAGGCACCCTGAGCAACATTCAGGAATGCAAACAGGCATGCACATACATCACCTGCACGCCGCCCCCCCCCCCACCCAGGAAGTCATAGCAAACCCAGAGACGTGGAAAAATGGGGGGAGGAAGGGAAGGTATAGAGACAAAGCAGCACAAAGGATAACAGGCTGTTTTGTAGTCCAGCCTTCCCTTACCTGGTCTCTGGCAGATTTGCTAGTGGAGCACTTCCATCTCCAGGCACCCCAGTGGTGTGTTGGCTAGGGATTATGAGAGGACCAGTCAGAACATCTCGCAGGCATCAAGGAACAGAGAAAAAGACCAATCCAAAGGGAAGGAGACCCTGAAAATGTAACACTAAGTTATCTGCAATGTGTCCGTGCAGTACAGCTTATGTGGGGGGGCTTAGATCTCAAGCCAACAAAGCAGACTCCCACCCATGTAGGGCCTGGGGGGTTGGAAACCAGACCCTTCCCTCACACACTCTTTTCACCCACCCTTTAAGGTCTCTTACTGGTACGGGTTCAGCTGAGTGCAATACGTGTACATGGTGTGGAACTGGAAGGAGGGCCAATTTCCCCCAAGGACCCTGGGGGAAAAAAAATAATTGCTTGAATCTAGGACAGCAAAATGCCCCTAAGGCAGCTGCTCAAGAGCCTCCCATCACAGAACTTTTGCCACTCCTTTGCAGGCACACTTAGCTCTCCTGCGGGGGCGAGCAAGATGCTGGGCAGCTGTAGCCACCCATAATGTTGCCCTCCACTCCCTCCAAGGCCCCCAAGCAAGGTAAGTCAGAGCTGAGGTGCAGGCAAGCTCCCTTCCTAAGTCCTTCTGCAGCAGGGTGGGATTCTGAAGACCTGTTTGTGGGCACCTGGGAAATGGATTCATTTGAAATTCAGAAACTGTCAGTCCAGGATATTGTGGATGGAGGGGCAGCCCCCCCTCTTTTAAACACTTAGCAGACACAATTCCCCCCCCCCAGGGGGGGGGCAGCAAATGCATCAAGGTTTTTGAATGGAATTGTCTGCTTTAGAGCTTATATAAATCTGCCTCTGCTTTCTTCCTACCCATTTCTCCTCTCAGGCACTGTGCTTATTTTAGGAACTTTTGACTTGCTGGACTGGGCCCTTCGTGCCCCCAACTTTCCCTCAGAGGACGGTGTCCCTGTCAGAAACTTGTGGCACCTCAGACCCGACTGTCAGAAAGAGAACAAAGTGGCCAGACAAGGGTCAGAGAAAAAGGGGTGGATGCGCTTAGGGGACACTGGCCCTGACAGCCACAAAGCCCCAGCAGTGACATCCTTGGGGTTTCCATAGAAACCCCCTTTCAAGTACACATTGACCTGAGCATGGGGGAAGGGGGAGAGGAAGATCTGGTGGCTTGTCAGCAGGTGTTCCTCAACCCCTGAATCCTTTTCAGGACAAGGAGGTATTTACAGGTGCTGTCCTGAAACTGCATCGAGGAAACGGGGAAGCCCAACTGATCTTTGCTCCCGAGATTCAGCTGCACTCCTGACACCTATGAAAAGGGACGGTCAGTGCTCTCCCGGAAGGACTGACAGGTGCCTCTCCACTTCCCATTCTGACAATGTCAGAAGCAACCCAAGGGACGCACAAAAGCCTGCATATGACATGCCCATCACCATGCAAAAGAGGGAGCAGGTTGGCATTCATTGTTCTGGGCAACAGTCAGGTGGGCATAATGACAGTTGCCAGAATCAGAGGAAATGCGTCTTGTCGCTTAAGAGGAAAGCCACGTTATCAAAATTAATCAGCGCCTCAAAGTCAGGCTGCGGAGTTTAGGCTCAGCCATTGCTGACTGCAGTAATTTCACCCTTGAAGCCAATAAGTGCACATTGGGAATCTGGTATGGAATTTAATTTTCAGAGAATCTTTTGAGGAGTGGGGGGCGGGTTTGGAGCAAGGTCTTTTTGTCCCTCAGGTTCTGGGATCATTTTAGATGCAGCGGGGTTTCCCTGAGATTTCAGTAACCGAAAAGAAACGTGACCAGGGGCCTCACGGGAGGGCCCTCCCCTCCCCATTTTCAACTCCAGACCTATATCTCCCCTCCTTTCTTGCTTTTTGCCCCCCTCCCTGTTGCTTGCTAAAATATTCCAAATATTGCAGAATGCCCTCTGATGGGACTAAGACCGGATGTCACGGAGCAAACAAAATGCCTGCTGTGAAGGCAGCATTTTCTCAAGCATGCCCTTCATGAGCACCTTTATCAGCAAAAAATATGATCATGGAATTTGGCATTCTCTGTGCTGCTTCAAGTCACGGAAGTCAATAAAAATCCAGATGTGTCAGATATTAATCCTCAATGGCTGTGCTGCTTGGGAATTACAGATAGTCAATACACCCGGTTGGGGAAGGCTATTATATCTGCCTGTGACCCATAATACAAAGATGGAACAACTAAACTCACTTTTTCACCACCACCACCCCATCTCCAGGGAAATGTTTCTTGAGCCAACCACTGCCCAAACCTTTCTCTCCCTCCGTCTCAGGCTTGGACATCATCTCCCTATTCGCCCGTGCCTAAAGCAGAAGGCTGGAGTCCCAGCAGAGTCCCTGCTGTTCTGGAGCTTTTTGATGATTGATGAAGGAGGGACAAAACAGCTTGGCAGCAGAGAGTAGTTAAGTTCTTCTATTTTCATGAAACGCATAAATAGGTCTAATGCACAGATGCTTGGGTCACATGTGAGGCCTTTTTTTAGTAATAGTTGTGCCTCTTTCAGGCTGGGACCCATTTATATTAGCTATACCACTGCCTGCGCCAGGGAATAGCAATGGCCCAATTGGCAGCTGATCCCAGGTTCACTGCAGCTAAGGAGACCTGAGAATCACTGGCTCCTCGTTTGTTGTTGTGTGAGGTCTTGGTTGGCAACACCAAGTGTTCACCAACAAAACAGATGACATCCCAGCAGGAAGACTTTGCACCACGGAATGGCAGATCTCTGCTTCCCTATTTTAATTTCAAAGCAGCCAATGAGGCATAGAGGATTTCCAAATAAAGCATTGGTTGTACCTCACCTGCATGCAGAGGGCTAGGTCTAAAATGGTCCCTTCCCCCAGCTTGAATAATACAATAGTAATGGCTAGATAAAATTAGGATTGTCCTCCCCCTCATATTATACTGAGGGCTACTATCGGTGCCAATCTGGAGGATTCTTGTCAAAGCAAATGATTTTAATCTGGAGCATATTGGAGACGGGAGGCTAAAGTTTCCCTCTGTCCAGAGCGGTTCTGATCCAAAGAAGGTTTTCTATCACCCCGTTTGAAAATGGTTTTGCCCTTCCTTTC